CGCGAAAAAACGGGATGCGCTAGGCCCCGCGGAAGACGCCGCGATCTCCTGGGGGAAATCACCCCGCGACCGCCTGAGGGAAATCATCCCGCGACCGCCAGGGGGGAAAGAAAACCATCTTACCAACCGAGGAGGAAAAATTTACCCCGGCGACCGCTAGAGGGATCCACCTTCTCCCTCCGGATGCGAACCCTCCGGGGATCCTATGACCCTCCCCTCCTCTCCACTCTCCCTCTCGCCTTGGGTGGCTTAGGGCCCTCCTTGTTTACCTATTATACTGTGTCGTGGACAGTCGAACAATCCGCTCACCGATTTCGAGGATCCTCGATACCGAAGACGAGCCGAACTCTGTTTTGCAGTCGCGAGATCGACAAAAACCGCGGATCGGCAGCGGCGACGCTGAGACTCGCACGTGTGTTCGGATCCTTTGATGACTCGAGCCGCGCTACGTCGCGAGTCGAGAGCCTGGAATTCTAGGGATCGTGCCGTCGCGATGATGTCATATTATAAGTGTATAAGTGTATAATATAATATGTGTGCGTGAGCGCTGTTCGTCGCAATTATAAATATAATATAATATGTATATACGTATATCGTGCTTTCGCTTCTCTCGAGCTCGAATGCATAACATATATTGTTCGTAATTCCTTTCCTGAAGCCTGTTTGATTCTGTGGAACCAGGTTTCATCCCTCTACCTCTCTCTCTCTAGCCTCTCCCCCAATATCGTATAAACTTTATATAAGGCTAGCGCCAACGTCATTCCCCTATAATCTCCTACTTCCTTCCCTTCCCCTCTTTTCCTTATCGGTACTATTATCCCATCGCTCCATTCATCTATCCATTCATTCCCCTCCCACATCCTGTTACATATTTCCCACACAAAACTTACCATTCTTTCCCCACCAAATTTCCACATCTCCCTCGGAATCTCATCCTCTCCTACCACTTTACCCTCCTTCAACCTCCCAATCGCCCTCACTACTTCTGCCCTCGAAATCTCCGTTCGCTGTCTCCTTCCCTTCTTACCCCTCTCGTTCCTCTCACGACCCTACTCTCTATCCCTTCCAATAGCCCCTTGAAGTACCCAACCCATTCTTCCAACTCTATTCCCTCATTTATCCCTCCCTTTTTTTCCTTTCCCTGTTCATCATCTCCCATACTTCCGTCCTTGTCTGCCTTGTTACTTCCAGTCATTTCTCGCTGTCTTCTTTCTTCTTTCTCTCGTACATTTTGTTGTACTCCCTTTTACTTTTCTTATACCTGTCTCCTTCTTTTCCCTTCCTCCAACTCTTAAGTACTTCCCTAACTCCTCGCTTACACTCCCTGCATTCCTCATCCCACCAACCCTCTATTCCCTTATCCCTCCTAGCTAGTCCTTGTTCTACCCTCAACACTCCTTGGATCCCCTCCTTTATTCTCTCCCAACTCATCTTCTCACTTCTTTCCCCCTCTTCCCATACTCTCTCCATCTTCTCTCTAAAAAGCTCCTTTCTTTCTTCCGTCCATCTCCACCTTTTTCTTTCATCACCGCTTCTCCTTCTTCTCCTCTTGCCCTCTCATCTAACCCAGATCACTACCGGAAAGTAATCCGAGTCTACCCTATCTTCCACACTCAGCCTCTTTATCCGATCTCATACCTCCCCATCCCCTATCACGTAGTCCAGCACTGGCTTCCCCCGCCCTCCAGAATATGTTCATATATCCTCCCCGTCTCCCTTTCCACATCCATTAAAGATATACTATTCGACTTCCTCCAACCTTCACCAACCATGCACCTTTATTCACTTTGACATCCAATGATCTCTTCCCTTCTTCCCCTCTATTCTACCATCCTCCTCCTGTCTCCGTTCTCTCGTTGAAATCTTCTCCCATTATCGTCTTTATTCGCCTACCTCTATTCTCCAAGCACTTATCTTCTCCCATTTCTCCGTTTATGTACACTCCTGCAACTCTTCACTCTTCCCTCCCTAATTTTATTACCTTCACCATTATTCTCTTCACTTCCGCTATCTTCTCTCCCACAGTAGGATAACAAAGGGGGTCCGAGAGCCCCCAGGGGTATGGGGGGCGAGGGAGAGAGGGGGATCGTAGAATCCCAGGGGACCTCGGACCCCCTTTGAGTCGGTAAGATGATTTTCTTTTTGAGAGGGTTCGTATCCGGGGAGAGAAAATGGATCCCTCTGGCGGTCGTCGAGACAGTTTTATTCCTCTCGGTCGGTAAAGCGGTCGCGGGGTTTCCCCGGGTCGGTTCCCCCGTTCTCGACGCCGTCCTAGCGTTTTTTCTAGCGTTTTTTTCGGGCGCGTTCTCGACGCCGCCCTAGCGTTTTTTTCGGGCGCGTCCTAGCGTTTCCCGCTGGGTAACCCCGGGCGCGTCACGTTTTTCGGGCGCGTTCTCGATGCCGCCCTAGCGTTTTTTTTTCGGACACGT